AATATGTCTGTTGAAATTTCAATTCCTGGACCTAGACGGAGGAGCCCTGGTGGCATGGTGGGCTGCTAACGTCAAGATCCATAGTTCAAACCCACCAGCTGCTCCCTGGGAGAGGTACAGCTCCCCTAAGTGGTTAGGGTCCCCACGAGTCAGAATGGACCAGAGGACAGGGAGGTTTGGTCAGTTGGGTACTTAGAAATATGACCCCCATTTGAAAACCGCAGCTTTCTCGTTATACTAATAACGTAGGCCACTGTCACGTAAACCCAAACTTAGTCATACAAAGTGAGAGCCCTGGTGGCCAGCTGTGTGTGACACACTGGGCCGCAAGCCGCCAGGTCAGCAGTACAAATCCACCCGCCACTCTGAGGGAGAAAGAAGAGGCTGTCTACTGCCATCCCGAGTTACAGCTCGGTGCTCGCTTCAGCAGCACAAGGACCAAGCCTGGAGCCACACAGTGAAGGTGAGCTTGGCCCCTGCACAGGGTGCCACACGAATTCCTGAAGGGCCCCCTGTTTGAAAGATCAAACGTCACAGCTTCGGAAACCCACAGGGCTCTTTCTGCCCCATCCTAAAGGGGCAGCAGACTTGATGGCAGTGAGAGTATCTTGAGATGCTTTAGGGGGTAGAAACCCACTTGGGGTCCCAAGGGAGGCCCAGAGGCACGGGGTCTCCCTTAGGTACAGGGAGAGGGATCCTGAAGGCTTTCCGACAGAGGGGTTCACTGGAGCCGAGTCAGGAGAGCTGTCTGGGACTGGCAGCTTCCCAGTCCCCAGCTTCAAGCAAGGTCAATCCAAGGGCAAGTTCACTGTCGCTCCCCTCCCCCCACCCGTGTTTCTCTCCCTCCTCTGTGGTGTTTATTTTATGTTTGCCGATTTAGCCAAATCCTTCAGGTGTACAGCCAGGGATGGCAGCCATCCCCACCGAGTGTCTCCCCGTGTTCCTCACACCCCCAGACGGACAATGAGATGGTGGTGGCTGGCGCGGAATATCGAACGTCCCCCGCAGATAGACGGCCAGCAGGCAAAAAGGACAAAGGGGAAAAACGATCCGCCTTTAAGGAGTGAAGGGGAGACTTCGTCTCCATGTCCTCTGAAGCCGCAACGAGGAGCGGCCGGTCCCTGGAAGGACGTCATGCTGGGTAAAGTAGAGCGAGGGTGAACAAGAAGGCGGCCTTCCAGGAGCTAGATTGGGAAGAGTGACCGCAACAAGGGCTCCAACATCACGATGACTCTGGGGTGGCACCGGACCCTGCAGTGCCTTCATCCCGTGGTCTGCAGGGGCACCTCGGGGCACCTCGCAATAGACAGAAATCCTGCGCTCTCTCAGCCAGGCCCCCCGGGTACCTCTCCCCGAGGGCCCGGTAACGATGGACAACGTGCGGGCTCTGAGAACTTGTCTGGTCAGGAGATTGCGTGGAGCTGGTCCTGTAGCGTCAAGCTTGCCTCGGTTCCCCGTACTGGGTTTTCAAGGCCCGTCCACGTCACAGCATGGCTCGCTCCAGGACACATTGCTCTGGACGGTGCAAGGAGCCCTGGTGAGTAGTTGATCCGGCTGTGGGCTCTCACCGGGAGGTCAGCACTTGGAACCCACTAGCCAAAGCGTTCTGCTGCCGTGAAGAGTTACAGTCCGAGACAGCCCCAGAGGCAGTTCCTCTCTGTCCTACTCAACCCCGAGGGCAGTGAGTCTGGTGTTTATGGTTGAATAATAACTCCGTGGGGTGGATCCCACTGATTATTCATAAGCCCTCGAGCCCAGGTCATTACGTGGAAAACTATTGTGAGATCTGTATTTAAGACTGCTGAAAACAGGACTACCAAACCGATCCCCTGCCAGGGGGTCGGTGCTGCCTCAGCAAACCTGGGGGGCAGAGCAGCACGACTGTGGCATTTCCAAGACTGGAAATCTATTTTTTTTTAATCATTTTATTGGGGCTTGCACAGCTCTTACCATGATCCATACATGCATCCGATGTGTCAGGCACGTTTGTACATTTGCTGCCATCATCATTCTCAAAACATTTGCTTTCTACTTGAGCCCTTGGGGTCAGCTCCTCATTTTCCTCCGCCCTCCCCTCTCCCCACTCCTACAAGAGCCCTTGATAATTTATAAATTATTTTTTTCATGTCTCACACTGGCTGCTATCTCCCTCCACCCATTTTTCTGTTGTCTGTCCCTCTGGGAGGGGGTTCTATGGAGGTCCTTGTGATCGGTTCCCCCTTTCTCCCTCACCTTCCCCTTCCCCTCCTGGTATCACTACTCTCATTATTTGGTCCTGAGGGGTTTCTCTGTCCTGGATTCCCTGTGTTTCCAGCTCTTATCTGTACCCATGTACATGCTCTGTTCTAGCCGGATTTGTAAGGTAGAATTGGGGTCATGATAGTGGGGGGAGGAAGCATTAAGGAACTAGAGGAAAGTTGTGTTTCGTTGGTGCTTTAATGCACACTGACTGACTCATTTCTTCGTTGTGACCCTTCTGTGAGGGGATGTTCAATTGTCTACAGATGGGCTTTGGGT